CGGGGGGGGTCCAGCAAAGCCGCTTGTTTGCCCGGGAACTTTGCTCGTTTGCCCGGGAGCAAAGCCGCCCAGGCAGCGGAACCCTCCCCAGCAGACCAGGCTTTTGTTGCGGGACACCTCGGGTAGAGCAGCTGGGGTGCTGCCGGGTTGGTCCCAGCTGTTCTGTCCCAGGCTCCAGATTCAGGAGCTGTTGAAACTGATTAGGCTGATTCCAGGAAGCTGGGGGCAGAGCAACTCTGCCTCCGACTTCCTGTAGTCAGCCCCTGGTCAGTTTCAGTGGCAGCAGCTGAATCTGGAGCCGGTTCCGACTTACATACAAATTCAACTTAAGAACAAACCTATAGTCCCTATCTTGTACGTAACCCGGGGACTGCCTCTACTATTTTCAGTAAATTACTTTTGTACTTATTATTCCCTTGCAGCCTAAAACTTTTTTTTTTGTATGATCTTTAGAAGAGCTATAGCAGTCCCAGTAAAATAGATTTATTCTGTGTATAAACTTTTTGGAAGTAGGTACAGAGAAAGCTTGCCAAAAGCATAAAGATTATGGTTGCTTGTTCCTTAAAATCTTTAAAAGGGACTTGACAAACATGGTTCTGTGCCTTTAAAAAGTAAAGTTCCAATAAAAATCCATTAACTACTTTCAAATATAGCAATCCTCCTGTCCAGCTGTGAAAAGTACTAGATGATACTTATTTGCCATTTGTGTTATTTACGGTCCATGACTTTTATGGTAACTGGTTCCTATTATTGGTTTCTATTAATGTAAAACATAAGTGAACATAAATGAGGCGTGAATCATTTCTTTTTATTAGCCCCACAGTCTTCACTCACTGCTTGCAGTAACTCCAGCTGTGACTTGTTAGTGATAACCTATTTAAAGAAGGAGATCTTTAAGAAAAAGGGACGTGATCAGGATTGTTTGTTCATTCATATTTTCAGAAGGTTTTCCTACTTAGTGAAAGCTCAACAACAATATAAAGAAAATAAGATTTGATTAGCAACATTGCTAAGGTCTGAGCTGTCACTAATTTGTACTGAGTTTAATATGGTATTAATTACACTCCAAATGAGTTTCTACTGGCTACTACTAAAACCAAGATATAGTGTAAGTCACTTTTTCAGTTCTGCAAAGAATTTTCTGCTGCTATAGTCCTGTATCATTAAATGGTACTTATTAAACAATATGGTTACACATTTTCAAATAAAATACACAAAATTGTCAAGAAACTAAACTATAGGTCTATAGATTTTTGTGGTGCCTTGAAATTAAATAAATATATAAATAAATGTCAACTTTAATTTTTTAGAAAAAAGGCTTTAAGCAAAATACACCTTTTTAATATGTCTTGTCTGCAATTTTACTAGAAGAGTTAGTTCTATAATCATTTTTTGAATCCTTTCAAAGTGTCTCTGCTCTCATAGGTATGTCTGCATAGCAGCATTATTTCAGAATAACTGACATTATTTTGAAATAATGTTGAGATGGAGGACTTCTTACTCTGACTCCTGTAACCCTCATTTTAAGAGGATTAAGGGAATTTCGAGAATGTTCTTCCTTAGACTTCTTGCTATATAGACAGCACCAAAAGCCAAATTAAGCTATTTCAACTTCAACTACGCAATTGATGTAACCAAAGTTACATATCTTAACAAAACAAAACTAAGTATTCCTAAACAATTCTAGAAGGCTATGTCTACACAGCAGCATTATTTTGGAACAACATCATTTATTCTGAAATAACGTAATGTGCATCTACATAGCAAGCCCATTATTTCTAAATGAATTCAAAATAACAGGCTTCTTACTCCAGCTTCTGTAAACCTCACTTCGTGAAGAGTAGGGGGAAGAGTGTTGTATTTTGAAATAACTGCTGCTTACACAGTGCCAAAAGTTGAAATAAGCTATTTTGACTTAAGCTATGCAATTAACATATATCAAGTTGCATAGTTTATTTTGAGTTTAGCCCTGCTGTGTAGATGTGCCCAAAGTGCCTCTTTTTTCTGTGAAAGATATACATTAATTCTTAAAGAATTCTACCAGTGCACATTTCTCATTCCCTAGCTAGGGTTTTAGAGCATATTATCAACCATCATGTTGTCTACAACTATCAGGATGAACTGCTTTAATTAATCATTTTGGAAAAAAATCTTGCCACTGTCCCAGCTACTTTGCACCTTCTTTCATCAGAGATATGTCACAAATAATAATACATACAAAAGAAAAACAAACATTTACCTTATCCTATACCTATCAGGGGCCCTTCCGTGATACTGCTGAAGTATTGCAACAACGCTACAAACCTTTGGAACCAACCTTGCGAGTGGCAACATCAATCAATTCACTTGAGAAGGCTAGAGAGGAGATTAAAAGAGAGGAATGGAGAAACCGCATAAATGACAATAAGTAAGTTCCTTATTTTTTCTTATATTTTTATGAGAACATTTGCTTATTCCGCTGATTTCAGAAACCTTTCATGTCTGACAAAATGAAATGTCATATTTAACAGCTCTGTGTTCTTATTTAAATTGTAAACTGCTCAGGACAGAGACCTTGTTTTGTTAAATTAAGTGTTCCATACAAACCTATAGAAAGACATATAATAAGAATGACTTTCTTGATAATTGTTTCTGAAGTATATCACAAAAGTGCCGGCTCAAGCCATTCTTGCACCCCGGGCAGCGGGTGCGTGGCGCATGTGCGGCTGTGCCCCAGGCTCACGGTGCATGCACAGCCCCTGCTCCCCACATGCACAGCGCCCGTCACAGCTGTAATCAGGTGCCACGTGGCCCCCGGCCCCAGGCTGAAAGGGGCACCGCGCATCTTACAGCTGCAATCAGGAGCCCCCCATAGGTTGGCGCCCCAGGCATCTGCCCGGCTAGCCCGCCCCTTAATCCGGCCCTGCCCATATAGCTCCCCATC